ACCTCTTTGCACAATATCCAGCTTTTCGTGGAAGGCCCGTCTTGAAAATTGTGTGGAAAGTAGTTCTGCAACCAGATCATCGTCTTCTCCTTCGGTCATGTTAGGTTAAAATGCGAGTGATAGCTCTAGCAGGCGCTAATCCAATCTTTTTTTTTTTTTTTAATCTTTATTGAACAAGTCAGGATACAATTCTCAGGAAACAGAAAAGGCGCTAATCCAATCACCGAACGCGCATGGCCAGTCTCGACGTAAGGCCTTCTAGCTGGCCCTAGTACGCAGACGAGTCAGATCATGAGTCTGAGACTCGTGATCTGATTGGCTCTTGAAACCTGACTGTGCCCGTTCACTGACAGCGCACAGGGGCCTGCTCTGTTTAATCTGAAGGCCCCGAACAAGTTTAATTTACCTGGCAATACAAGCTAGCTGAAATATGATTGGTTAAAAACTCTTCCATAATAAATAAGTTATTTATCGAGTGGCTTTCAATGTTATTGAAAGCCACTCGACTAAGTGGAAATAAAATGACGTAAAGAATACAGAGAATAATTTTGTTTACATATTTATGAAAATAAATAAATTCATCTTATTCTCAGAAAAGTAAATTTATTTTTCTGAGAATGTTTAGGCCAGCAGAGAAGGCCTTGCTGGCCCTGAGGGTCCGCCACTGCATACTTACATTACTCCACTGAAACAATACATATTGTTAAAGATTGATTTTCTTCAGAAGTATTATGCATTGTCATTTTTAAGACTTCAAAAGAGAGGTACAGTTTTTTTTCTTTGTTTTATTTTCTACCAATACAGAGGAGGCTTAATTTAAATGAGGACTGCACAACATATTGAAAAAATATTGTCATTGAGATAATGGCACACAAAGTGCAGAATGCAAAACATGTGCAATGAATTTATCTGGAATTGTATAGTTTAATGTAATTTTGACCAATCAGATGCAACCGCAATGCACATCGCCATCAAATAGGCCATCAATAATAGAACAGCTTCCAGGGACATTATTTTCACCAAGAACTTAATTAGATCAGAATGTATTCATATTTCATAATATTTCTTTAGGTACATGTTAAATATAGGCATACTATCAATATTACAATTTGTAACACCCATATTACATTTAGCATGTTTTCCCAATATTGTGCATCCATAATCTTCAATATATTTGAGTTCTAAAGTATAAATATATTTGAGTATCATTTCTGTATCTCGAGACTGGGACGAGTGGCCTCTTTTTTTTTTTAGATCAAAATATGGTTACCCGAGATAATATACTCAAGTCTAAATGGTCAATGCAGCTAGGAAAGTTCACTCTCTGTGATATTACTCCATTCACGATACTGGCATTAAAAAAAAAAAAAGCAGTGATAAGGGTGTTTTCAGAAAAATTTATAAATAAATGAAGACGACGACGACGACGACGACTACTACTTGTACTTCTCTACTACTACTATTACTTCTACTACTACTGCTACTGCTACTCCTAATAATATTAATCAAATCAAATCAAATAAATTGTCAATAAAAAAGGCAACGAAAGATGGCTGCCCTCTGCCTTCAACTGCCAGAGTCGATTGGCAGTCCACATTATTGTCAAATAAGTACGTGCATCGAACACGCCACTGATGCGACATTCCATTTGTATCCGGAAGTCAGAAATTCCGAGTTCCTAGTTGAAATTTTCAAGTGGAACCCGAAGTACCCAGAGAAAACCCACGCAGACCTGGGGAGAACATCAGGAAGGCCGGAGCTGGAATGAAACCCGGTACCGCTGCACTGTGAGGTCGACACGCGAACCACTGGACCACCGGGCCGCCCTATACACAGTATTATTCGATGTAAATATCGGTAATGTTGCTGAAGTACAAAATTCCTTTGTCACATGTAACACACTGGACCAATGCTAACAATAGACTACCGTAATAGATTACTGTCAGACATGTTGATAGACAAATGGATAGATATTTTGAAAACTCGTCATTTTTTTTCACCCATTGTCTGAGGACTTATGATGGTATAGTCCAGGGGTCAGCAACCCGCGGCTTCAGAGCCGAATGCGGCTCTTTGGTGCCACCCTAGTGGCTCCCTGGAGCTTTTGCAAAAATGTTTGAAAATGGAAAAAGGTGGGAGAGGGAAATATATTTTTGTTTTAATATGGTTTCTCTAGGAGGACAAACATGACACCAACATTCTTAACGTTTTACAATGCTGTAAATTTGTGGAGAATAAATGTTAGATTTCAACATTCCTGTCAAGGAGGATTTGCGTCAGAGCCTGCGACACACGTTTCTCTTAGCCGGATGGGATGCCAGGCAGGTGGCTGTTGTTAAAAAAAAAAAAAAAAAGGTGTTTTATGTACAATTCACCGAGGGTACTGGCAAAGAATGGGAATCCGGAGGGCTGAGAGAAGCATTTTTAAACGGTGCACATGAGCTACAAAAGTTAACATGCAGCAAAAGTGCTTCCCATGCCTCGATCGTCTTCGGGGCCGATATGCTCATTATGTAAGTGTGTGCGTATGCGCGCGTTTGCGGTAACGGGTCGATCGCGGGAGGTTGGTTTATGAAAAAGTAGATCTTCGGTCATTCGAAGTTTAATTCAGGTCAATCAGATGAATCCTTAAAAACAGGGGTGTCCAAACTCAGTCGTTAAGAGCCGCTGTCCTGCCTGTTTTCCAGGTCTCCTAGGAGCAATACACCTGATTCAAATCATCTGGATCGTTCTAATGCTGCTTCAGAGTTGATTATTTGAATCAGGTGTGTTGCAGCCGGGAGACATGGAATACAGACAGGACAGCGGCCCTCCAGGCTGGAGGCTGGACATGCCTGCTCGACAACAAGGGTGTAAAAGCATGAATGTGAAAAAAATGGGTAAACATTGGATTTTCAAAAATTCACAGCTCACTTCTTGTTCATTTTAGACCAGGGGTGTCAAACTCATTTCACATTGTGGGCCACATACGGCCTCGGTAGATGTCAAGTGGGCCGGACCATTAAAATTATATCATATTCTGCTCTAAATCACCAAAATAATATGTCTTCCTTTTGTTTTGGTCTAAAGAAGCACAAGAACATTAGGAAAATGTTGACATTTAATGAACATATCTTTTACAAAACATTTCATGAAGCACCTTAGATTTCCTTAGACAAATGTGCAATTTACTTTTATCATCCATATATATGCATTGCAACTGATCCCACTGATTGTACCAAGGCACAAAACTTTAACAAGTAATTGGTATTGAAAAATATAGTAATGCATTTTAAGATTAAACGAGATTTATACCATTACACATGTGCATATAAAATCGAAATTTAATCCCTGCCTACACCTTAGAAACCAAGTAGAGTGCTATTAAATGTGTAAAGAATAAAGAATAAAGTAATCACATGATAGCGTCTGCTGTGTTGGGTCTGTCTCAGTGACAGACTAAGGCTGCTGTTGTCTTCCTCTCTGATTAAAACAACGTTGTCTTCTACTCTGATCAAAACAGTGTGTCCCCTTGCGGATACTCCATGAATCGCACCTTATTAAAAATATTCATTCTGTGTCTTTTATGCTTTTTTTTCACTTTTAAATGATCCTGCGGGCCTGACCGAACCTCCTTGGGGGCCGGTTCCGGCCCGCGGGCCGTATGTTTGACACCACTGTTTTAGACAATGCTCCAATAAATTTTCTGTACATCACAGGGTGTTACACGGCGCCTGCCAATTTTTGTCGGCCTCGGTTTGCATGTTCTCCCCGTGGTTGCATGGGTTTTATCCGGTTACTCCGGTTTCCTGTCACATTCCAAAAACATGTATAGTTTGTTGATTGAACGCTCTAAATTGTCCCTTGGAGTGAGTGTGAGCATGAGTAGTTGTATGTCTATTTGTGCCCTGTGATTGGCTGGCAACCTGTCCAGGGTGTATCCCGCTGGATAGACTCCATCACACCCGCGAAACTCGTGAGGATTAGCGGTTCAGTTAATGGATGGATGGACACATTTAATGCTCAATTACATGTATAAAAGATCCCCTTTTTGACAGAAAAGTGTGCAACACAAAAATAACAAAAAAACCTACTAATCCCCCCCCCCTGTGAAAAGGGGCTCTTGTGCATAAAAACTGCCATTTAAAGATGGCACAAAACAGCTGACGACAAACCAACCACCAGTACAGACAATAATATCAAGGTATTTTATTTGTTTACATTACTGACATCAAAAGATCTGATAAAATTCTGTGTGCACTACACCATAATATCCAGTATGAATGTAAGATAAAGTTTCTCTCTCAGGCGGAAGCATGTTTCCCATCCAGGTCCTGATTAAATACAATGTTTCTTACGACTCGTGGACTTGCAAATACTCACCAACATGGGCTTTCTTCTGGTTCTTAGGATCTGTATTTTCCCAGTAGTTAAGAGTGAACACAAATTTCAAATACACACTGGACACTGGGATAAAATGTGCTTGATAACTCAGCATTTTACTGGAAAAATAAAGGGATGTTTAATATTTTTTTCTCATAGCGCTGAATTGTATTCCAGGTACTGTTTAGAAATAGGACTTTCATTCCTATTCCAAACGTTGGCTTTCAGGCGGGAGACAGTTAAATTATGTTTAAATTCCATAACTTAAGAATATAAGATAAATATAAACATAAATAAATAACTTATACCATACTAGAGACAGATATTTTTTTTTACTTGAATTCAACTACCATCCAGTCAAGAACTGACATACTGTACGAATGCTGATTTCTCTCAATGTTAGGAAAAAAACACAAAAATGTTTTAAGTAAAAAGATTTGTTTTCAAAACAATGAAGATAGTCAAATATTAAACAGATGACAATGTTTCTGTCTCGACAGTGTGTACTGTATATAAGTAACCAAAATGCTTTGAGTGTTTCAAACAAGGCAATTAATGAGTACAGTAATAATATTGAGACAGGTTGAAAAACAGACATTGAACAAATCATGTTCACTAGTAAGTAACCAGGAGATGTGAAAAAGAAACTTAACGGTAATCAAATGTATCCTTATCATTGTGGTGAAAATGTACAAACCCCAACTCCAATGAAATTCGGATGTTGTGCAAAACATAAATAAAAAACAGAAGACAATTAGTTGCAAATCCTTTTCATCATATGTTCAATTAAATACACGACAAAGACAATATATTGTTTGATCAAATTGAAAAACTATTGATTTCCTTTTTTTGCAAATATTCACTCATTGTGAATTTTATGTGTGCAACCCATTCCCCAAAAAATTGTGTTACATCACTTTTCCTTTAACAACCCTCAATAAGTGTTTGTAAACCGAGGACACTAATTGTTGAAAATGTTGTAGACGAATGGCACTTGCTTGATGTACGGCTTCATTTGCTCCACAATCCAGGATCTTCATGGTTACATTTTGCGTTTCATAACGCGCCACGTGTTCAAAGGATTAAAGGTCTGGACTGCTGGCAGTTCATTCTAGTCCAGTATTCATACTCTTTTACTATGAAGCCACGCTGTTGTAACACATGCAGAATATGGCTTGGAATTTTTTTTTCACAAATAAGCCGATAAGTCCCTGAAAAAAAAAAAATTCTCTAATGGTGGCGTATGTTGCTCCAAAACCCGTGTCTATCTTTCAGCCTTAATGGTGCCTTCACAGATGTCTAAGTTACCAATGCAAGTGGTCACACACCACCATACCGTCACCGATGCTGGCTTTGAACTTTGCATTGATTAAAATCCAGATGGTCCTTTTCCTGTTTGGAGCAGAAGACATGATGTCCCAAAACAATTTGAAACGTGCGCTCGTCAGACCACCACAGCACACATTTTCAATTGGTGTCAGTTCATCTCAGATGGGCTTGGGCCCAAAGAAGCAGGCTGTATATTTGGGTGTTGCAAATGTAATATATGGGGCCCTATTTTCATTTCTAGCGCAAAGCGCAAGTCTAACTGTGCACCCAGGTGATGTTCTTTGTTTTGGTATTTTGCTAGACTATGCACGGGTCTAACTGAGCATAACAAGGCATGTGTGCCTTTGTGCGCCGTTGTGAGTTGGAAGGAGACTTTTGGCGGCATCCCTCATTTGCACTAAAATCAAGTTGGTCAAAACGCAGTCTGCTCGAGTGTGCCATGACTGACATTACGAAAGCACAAATTAACTCACTAGGGTCTGTGCATGATATTGGCCTGTAAACTGCAAGATGATGTCACCGGCCCTGCATGTGATGTGGGCGATTGGAGACCAGCTTGCACCCACAACCGTCTGTGCATCCATGTGTGACCCAGAGTGACGGGGGTGCTATGAGTTGTGTTTTTTTTAATTTTTTTTTTTAAGATGGTAATGATTATAATTCATTCAATGAATTGATTTCTGCAATGATTCAGAGGAATTGTCCAAGCTGTTGTCATCATTATGAATGAAATCCTGTGACATCCACCACTCACGTCCGCGGAGCGCCAATCCGTCTGCCTTCACCTCCATCAAATACACCAAAATTGTGTTACCCCACTTCCCCCAGGAGTTAGACATACTTTTAACCGAGTCTAAAATCTAGTCTACTTTTTGTGATGCACCGGGGGCCGTGTAAAAGAAGACACTCTCTGTCCCCAGAACGCCAAGTAATACGCAGTACCAAATTGAAAAACCACCATAAAGTAGACTTGCCCCAGCACAAAAATGGAGATTTTTAAACCAAGCATAGTCTACTTTCTGTGACCTATTATTATTATTTTTTTTTTTAAAGGATAAGCAAATCACTGTATTTTGTTTTGACATTTTACAGAATGTTCCGACTTCATTGGAATAATGGTTTGTAATTCCATTTTTGCATATGTGGAATTTGGTAAGGCTTCATCTTAAGAAACCAAACCACGGATTAGTCAAAGGTTTCATTACATATCAAACACATTCTCACTGTTAGAAGTTGTGCGTTCTTCCTCAAACATCCAAAGCAGGTCCAAACACGTTTTACGGACTCTTGGGGAGCCAAAAAAACCTCACAACAAAAAACAATAAAAACAAATCCTGCTTCAGCTCCATTGACTGACAAGAGTCAGAACCATTGTAATTTGCTTCAAAGCCATCGTGGTAAATACATATTTAGAGCAGTAAACATCCTCTTTGTCAGCTGAATACCAAGCAAAGTCAACAGATAAATGTGCCGGTAAAAACAAAAGTAATTAATAGAATAACGACACTCACTATTGTTATTGACTGATCTTTGAAGCATGCAGTAGCATTTAGAACAGAACATCACCATGCAGCTGTGTGCTAGTGCCGAAGCTTGCACAAGAGGTGAAAGTACCGATAAAACTTCAATATTCTAGACCAATTAATAATGTGGTTTGGTGTTGCCATGGCAGTGACAGATAAACAAATTCCCTTTCGTACAGTAAAAGCATTTTTTTTTTTTTTTACGCCAAAGTGGAAGAACGTGACTGGCCTGCACAGAGCACTGAAAACATATTGCAGATCTGGTTTCCACTTCATCCTCAGCACTATGGCTCAATCTCCTCTCAGCCCCAATACTGCTCCACACACTTATTCTAAGTTAACAAATAAATTAAACTACTTTTTGTTTTGCTGTAGACTTTATATATAGATTTTGTAATCAAAATATCTATCGCATTTGGAAACTCATCTTTCTATTTACAATCTCATTGTCTCTCATCTGGAATACAGCTTGTAAAAATAGTCAGGAAACTCCAGTATGCTCTCATATTATTAGAACGTGTCATTGTAACGCGATCATTTAACATTGTGACGTTGTCCTAAGTTCCAACGGGGCTTGAAGGATGAATCACAGTTGCCCTAATTATTAATATCCTGTGGAAAAATAAGAATTGGATAACAATCATTCATTGGCAGTAAGACTCAAAAATACAGTTATGGCTGTAAAGCCATTCATTTTTGTGCCAGCTCAAAAGCCAACAAAGAAAAAAGCTTGTCAAATGCATTCACTGAGTTGAGTAAGGCTACAAAACAACGCTGTGCAGTATATATATTTTTTCTTAATCCAAACACAGAACAAAAAATGTGTATTTGTGTGTGTGTGTGTGTGTGTGTGTGTGTGTGTGTGTGTGTGTGTGTGTGCGCGCACGCGCGTGAGGGTTGAGTGTCTTCAGTGGTTAATGTTGAACAGCAGACTCGGCAAAGACTTCAGGTCCATTTGTGGCAACAGCCATAAGCAGTAGAGCAGCAGCCAGAGAACAAAGAGCAGATAAGGCTCCCAGCTCCCACTCCAGCTAAGCAAATGTAATAAAACAAAAACATAAAATCAGAAAGTTGTGCAGAGTTTGTATGAAACAAGTTTTATTTTTAAATACAGTACAGTATTTTCCACACTAAAAGGCGCAGTGGATTATGAGGCGCACCTTCAATGAATGGCCTATTTTGTAATTGCTTTCATAAATCGGACGCACCGAATTATAAGACGCAATCTTCAATGCATCCACTAGATGGAGCTACACTCAAGGAAATGCCAGCAGAACGATCAAATGTCAGTAAAACTTATTTAATAAAGCAGCGACACAGTTAACTTAACCAGCAGCAAGTAATAACATTAACTCGTTAATGTTGAACTCTCTTGCCGCTGCTTTATTTCCGTGTTCAACTGTGTAACCCGATCGCCTTAAGTTTGAACTCTGTGTTGTAAGCATGTTTCTAACAAGGAGCCATTTTGGGGTTGACATATTACTGTAATAACCATAAACAAGGCACATCGGATTGTAAGGCGCGCAGTGAAGTTTTAAGAAAATGGAAGGCTGTTAGGTGCGCCTTTTACTGCGGAAAATACGGTACATATATTCTACAAACAGCAGATAGTTTGAGCAGGTTTTGCAAAAGGAGCTTGGGATAATAAAGTCAGAATGAAAATACGGAAGGAACAATGACTCTTCCTCCACTTATCCACGGTGCTGTTACAGTGGGACAGGGGCCTCAGCACACAGGCTCAAAAATGGGTATTGGAGGCTGTCTTCCAACTGCACCACACCAAATCCAGAGGCACTCTCCACGTAATGTTGGAGAATTGCATCAGTCAAAACAGCCTTGATCCAGGGGGATGCCATCCACCCCCTGGGCCTTGCAACAGCGTTTTTAACAACATCTGCGACCTCAGCCCAAGTGATAGGAGAGCCCAACTTGGATTCCGAAGACTGCTTCCTCATTGGAAGGCGTGTCTGTAGAATTTAGTATGATAAGGTTTAGTAAGTACAGTAGAACCTCAAGTTCCAACTTAATTTGCAATTAAGAGTCCTCAACTTAATTGGTTCCGTACACCCCTTTGTAACCTGAAAGGTGCCGTGATGGCCAGGACCGAACTGGAAATACATTGGCCGTTTGAGAAAATTAACATATTTTCCCGAAATTTCCGATGGCCACACCGCCCCTGATTTGAAGTTAAAATAAATAAATAAAAAGAACAAGAACCACCAAGACAGTCCCAAAAAGCTTTGATGGACTCACATTACCTCGAGGGCCGGGTCTCGGCAGGGGCAACAGGGGCCCTGGCCCCCTCAAATAAATGTGCCCCCCCCCAAAATATATATTTTACATATTTTTATAATCTCATGCCTCTGCTGCGCTCCACTTTTTACTGTCTTTATGTCTTGCTTGCCCCTCAAATATAAAATATATTAAGTTGTTTCTCGTGTCATGTTTCACGACTCCTCTCCATTTCCTTTTCATTCTGCTCAGAGTATTGGCCTGCTGCCGGCTCACTGTGAGCGATAGTTGTCTGGAGCAAGCGGAGATCCAACTTCCAATCAGCCTTAAGTATGCAAATGGGCAGTGTCAGATTTCTCAGCAGTTTGCAGCAGTAAACTGCAAATGTGAATCAAATGGGCTTTGTTAAACTCATTCACAGTGTTTTGTGTAATGACAAACTTAATTGCTAATTACATAATGAAACAAGAGTTAATATTTTTCTTGAAAACTTTATTTGTACAGTCAACAACAACAAGCAAAACCATATTACCAAATTCTTCTAGTAGCGAAGCTGAAGCCTATTCTCCTCGAAGAGTGTGTGCGGCCGCAAAAGGGTGAGTGAAATTTGTCAGTTAGACACGGTAAAAGTTGCTGCAGCACAATTCTTCCTCAAGATTTGTGGCTGCCCCTTCATGCATTCCTGTCTAGACCCGTGCTTGGTCACCTAACGCGGGTAGTCGGAGGTCAAGGGAAGCTTGGTACAACTGATACCACAACCATTAGCTATCTATAGTTTTGGCTGGCAACTAGTTAGCCTATCAGTAGCCATTGTAGAGTCGCTCCTACGTCAGTAATCATCTCCTGCGTTGTGGCGAATAAGCTACATTTCTTACAAGCATCATACTGACGAAGGGATGCGAGAGAAGACGGAGACGCCATGCTAAATGCTAAACTAACATAAAATTGACATGGCTCGCATGTGTACCATGTTTGGATGATCGAGTACACTTCACACACATCTGGTTGGAACCACGTAAAAGTGGAGAACATCTATATAACTTTGAACAGCAAAATAGCAGGCAAATTACTACCAGTAAGAGTCTAGATTGCAGAGATGGGCATTCCATCCCTGGGACGGAATGGTCCGTCCATCCATCTCAGACAGATGCCTATTTTCGCTAAGGAGGAGGAGAAGTTTTTTTTTAAAAAGATGGATTAAGCAAGGACGGAAGTGAAGTTTCATGCGTCTCTTTAATTGTCCCTAATGAAATAACCTGTGAAGAAAATACAGTTTTTGGCTACACTCTGGCCTTGTTATTTTGCCTCCAGACACCCACATACTTAATGATATGTCAGGCCATCCGGCATCATTGATTTGGCTTTCATATTAGATACAGTATAAAGTAAATTCATCAAATAATATTGTAACACTGAGCTAGGATAACATCAAACATCATTTGACAATAAAGTTGTACTTGGTACTTAATCATACAATCAATAGCAATACTTCCATATTTTGTTTGATGATGCATCTCCAAGGAGGAAGCATGTTCACAATTTGCTTCATTTTGCCACGTCCAATACGGCTGCAGCGTCGACATTCTCAAGAAGGCCTCTTTGTATATGTAATGTACCGTATTTTCCGCACTAAAAGGCGCACCTAAAAGCCTTGTATTTTCTTAAAAGCTCACAGCACACCTTAAAATCCGATGTGCCTTGTGTATGGTCATAACGGTAAAATTCCGACCCCAAAATGGCACCTTGCTTGAGACATGCTTACAACGCAGAGTTCAAACTTAAGGTGATCGGTTACGCAGTTGAACACGGAAAGAGAGCAGCGGCAAGCGAGTTCAACGTTAACAAGTCAAAGTTATAACTTGCTGTTGGTTAAGTGAACTGTGTCGCTGCTTCATTAAATAAGTTTTACTGACATCTGATCGTTCTGTTTGTGTTTGATTGAGCGTAGCTCCATCGAGTGGCTGCATTGTAGATTGCGTCTTATAATGCGGTGCCCAATGTATGAAAAAAAAAATTACAAAATAGGCCATTCATTGAAGGTGCGCCTCATAATCCAGTGCACCTTTCAGTGTAGAAAATACGGTAAATGTTGTCTCTGATAATACTTGCTTACAGTTGTCGCAAAAATGGCCATTCTAGATGGGTTCGGCAGTGCTATGCAAACATATGGAGCAAAGTAAGTGCTGTCTCGTCTGTAGGGTATTAATTACCCCCCACCCCCACCCCCCCATGCCTCTCTCTCATGGCGTTGTGCAGAGATGCTTTTTTTTTCGGGGGGGGGGGCACAGACTGGGATGGACGCACTTTAAAAGGATGAGGACAGGGGACGATTATATGAATCAGGTCGGAGGAAGGATGACGGAAGGGTACCCAGGTCGCGGACAGAGGACGGACCGGAAAAATAGGATGAAGTGCCCATGTCTGCAAGATTCTAAAGAGAAAATCGTACTCGCTCAACAGATACGGTACTGGAAATGAATGTATTTTCTTTACGGTATACGTCAGCAAGGGGTAGTGACCTATTAGGTTACAGGTATATTAATATAGTATTTGCATGTTGTGTGGGTTTTCTACAGGTACTCTGGTTTCCTCACATATTGCAAAAACATGTGTGGCAGGTTAATGGAGCACTCTAAATTGTCCCTAAGTGTGAGCGTGAGCGCGAGTGATCGTTTGTCTGTGTGTGTCCTGCGATTGGCTGGCAACCAGTTCATGGTGTCCCCCCGCCTACTGCCGGAAGACAGCTGGGATCGTCTCCAGCACCCCCCACGACCCTTGTGCAGATAAGAAGTTCAGATAATGGATGGATGAAATATTTATTAATCATCAGTCATGATATTGGTTTTGTTTTCACATGAAGGTCTGCACAGTGAATGCTCTCAAAATATTACACCATTTTTTTTAAAAAACAATTTAGCTTTTGATGCTATACTCAAGGTGAATTTAAGAGAAACTGTTGATTTTATAAAAAAGAGAAGCAATTGTTCAATTTTTATACTGTTTGTATATGTTAATAAATATGTTATACATATTTATTAACATTTGTCATCGTTTTATAATACCCTTGCTTCAGGTCTCTAGGATTAAACCTGCCCCCCCCCCAAAAAAAAATGCTCCACAAAATGATAAACTTGCTTCTCAAATTACGTCAATGATTTGCAAAACTGCTCTGTAAAAAAATAAATAAATAAATAAATAAATCTTAAAAAAATTGTATTCCTTCAAGATCATTAAATAAAATACAGCAATAAATAAATCAATCAATAGAGCCTTGATACAAAGTGATGACGCATGACTTTCCGCTACTGAGCCAAACTAGAATTTTCATGAAGCCATCCGGACATCACTCTTTATGGCCTTTCTGAATTCCTCTCATGCCTTGCTTTAGCATCCTGCCCGTATCCATCAGCTGCCTCCAGGGGTAGTGAGGGCGTCCTTCACCGCTAGTGTCTACTAAATGCCAATGAGCCAGTTGGTTGCCTCAACAATGGAGGCTCACCACATTATGGCCCACTCGACTAGATCATCCAACAGTAGCCTATGGTGCACCAAAATGCTTGAATGTGGTATTTGAACAACTTGTGACGCCCATAAAAGTTTAATGACAAACGGTTGAAGGAACAGTTCTTACCAAAATTCAGAGTCACCATTCTTATATTTTCTTGAAAATGTCCTCATGGTCATCTGATTGCTCTGTGAGTTGGGGGCGACAAACAAAATGTGCTACGTATTTAATAATGCAGTCAGGCTCAACAAAGGAGTGTTAGGGTGGTTCTGTTTGTGACCAACAGGTGGCACTGTAGGGTTCCTCTTGCAGTGGCACACCTGTTGGTCATTGTGTCAATGATCAACAGCGGACACTGAAAACAGGTATGCCACTGCAAGAGGAGCCCTACAGTGCCACCTGGTGGTCACAAACAGGACCACCCTACAAGGAGAGAATGGAGTGAAAGCCAATAAAAGTATAGCCAAATCTAACCTGAGAGAAATAAATTCCCCTCCTTTGACGCAGGACTGGAGGGATCGGGATTTCATTCTGACTGGGAATTTTTGTGCCGTCTCTGAAAGGAAAATTCATATTAGTTGAGGCAAAGGTGCAAGTGCAACAGAACATGAAAATAACACATGATTATTCACCTATCTGTTTGTCCAGCACACTACGATTCACATAACAACTAACATTTTTTGTTCTTATTTTTACTTGGTCTGGAGTCTCTGAACTATGTCATGATTATTTTCTGACCATTTGTTTTATTTTCACTCTCAAGATTGGGACCATTGACCAATTGAAGTACCATGAGTGACTTCTGCTCACTTTGGTGCAAGAACACATATAAGTGCAGTGCTCACAAACACAATTTGAGGGTGTGTGCCCCAAATAATGATCTATGCACTAGCACATGTATTGGACAGAAATGTATAAAATCCATACAATAAAATATGACTGCTCTTGACACCAGATATTGTAAACACACACATCACCTTGTACAACAGAAAATATGAATGGGCAAAAAATGATGAAACTGATCTATTCCATTTTCACACTTCTCTGTGAAGTCCCAATTTACATGCTCTAGCTGAAATTCTCTTTGGCCAAACTATCACCTCTGATAGGCAATGAGTCTCGCTTCAAATCATTTGACAGTGCTACATTTAAGGAAATAACAGAGTGAGCCAAGTCAGAAACTGTCCATTCCCACAGCTCTGTTTGAACTTACAGTACTTTCCACCAGGAATCTAACAAGAGAAAGCCTACCTGATAGTCTCTGTGTTTTCCCTGGAAGGGTCTCGGGTATCTTGCTGAGCCTCACTTAGATCACTGCAGTCAGGTGGGAAAATACTTTCTGAAAGGTCTGTGATTTGCCCCCCAGGCAACTGGCACAGTCCTTTGAGTTCAGATCTGCTGCAAGTCTTATGTTTGATCTCAGTCATTACCTAATGAGAGCAACACAAAAAGAGGGGTTGTGTCAGAGCTGGGCAAACAGAATAAGGTACAATGGAGTGATTTTCTGGAGTGTACCTGAATGTGAGATAGTGTGAGGGAGGTAGATTTATTTAAAAAAAAAAAAAGTGGAGCTTAAGTAAAAAAAAAAATGTTGGAAAATTTGATTGAATGGTAACTTTAGAGTCATCAGGGAGATCGGCTTGCGTTCAAAAAAGTTAATTCCAAATGATCCGACAAATGGTCAGTTACAAATATCTATCTGCCTGTTACATGGCACGAGTGCGCCAAGTAAATAAGCCCACTTTTGCTTATACACACTCACAGGCATACACACACACACACACACACACACACACAAAATAAATCTGTTTTATTATTTTCTTGATAGTTCAAGACCCAACCGTCCATAAATACATTGTGTTTTGCAACAGTAGTATTTAAGATGTATAATTCCATATATACCACTGGATCAGAGCCAGAAAAAAAAACGATGCAAAACCAAATAGCACTTGCAAAAGGCAAGGTTTATTAGGAACACCAAGAATATGCAAACAGAATACCAAGAGTCCAATTACACGATAACAATGATCATAGTAAAAATAAAATAACGGAAAGACTTACCAAGAGTCCAATTACACGAAAACAATGATCATAGTAAAAATAAAATAACGGAAAGACTTACAAACCAGGATCCATGAACAAAACGAGAGTGACTACGAATAGTATCAAGAGGTCTCGAAAATAACACGGGAAGCAGTAACAGCAAGCAAGGTCAATAAACCGACAAAAGCCTTGGCAACTTGGCAGTCTTTAAATACTAAGCCAGGCTTTACTGGAAACAGAGTGCAGGTGTAACACCCTTAACTTCATCTGGAGCTGAGACACAAATAAACATTCAGAGCATGACCTGTCATGTGCGTAGTCTCTATTGCCAAAATGCCAAGAGGGTCGTGATTGGGAGACAGGCTTCCGCCTTCTGTGCGCGGTCTGACAAAGAAACAGAGTTGAAGTGCCTTTGCTTTATTTTCTTCCCCTCCAAGTATCAGTTGGAGCATGAAAACACGCAATCGCGCGACTGCCACTAGATGAAATTTTTAACAGCGCACACTGAAAAGTTGGCCGCATCTGTGAGCATATCGATCGCAATGTCGAGCCCTGATTTATCAAATGAAACACTGTGAAACTATATGATCTAGTTCAGAGGTCCCCAACACCTGATCCGCAGACCGATATTGGTACCAAGCCACAGAGAAAGAACATATAACTTACATTAATTCCATTTCATTTATATCAGAATCCGAAAGATGTTTTAGTTTGAAAAATGACCCGATTCTCTTTTACATCCATCTATGTCAGTCTTGACGCACGTCAATGCGCGCTTCTCGGTCACGTGATAGGTTACGCTAAAAACAAAACACAGAAGTCTGCAAAATGAGTAAAAAACAAATGTCTTTGGAAAGTTTCTTTGGGAAGGGGAAAAGGCCCAACCAAGAGACAGAAGAGGAGCCTTCAACTTTGAAGAAAAAGAAAGGTATATTTCGAAGACGATATCAGGATTCTTATTTAAAATTCGGATTCATCCCAGCGGAAGATTCCCACGCCCCAAGCCCACTGTGAATTATATGCAGCGACCGGCTCTCTAATGAGGCAATGAAGCCATCAAAACTGCTTCGCCAATTGGAGACCAAGCACACTGCATTAAAAGACAAGCCTTTGGAGTATTAAGGAGGTTGCAGTCATTCTAGACTCTAGAATGATATCATTAAAGTTATTAACCACATCAAAGCACACGCCCTTAACTCACACTGTTCGAGAAAATTTGTGAGGAGATGGAGATGGAGCACAGACGCCTTCTCTTATACACAGAAATAAGATGGTTATCCTGAGAATGATCGCTGGCCAGAGTGTTTGAATTACGGAGATGCTGCAAAGATTTCTCTCAGAAAAACAGTGACGGCGACCAAAACAAAATTACAAAGTAGACTGGACATAAGCCACATACTTCGGGTGTCATTGTCTCCTATACCCTGAGATGGGACCGCCTGGTTGCAGAAAAAACAAGCTCGGGGCTCCCACTGATTCAGTATTGTGGTGAGTCATATTTCTCATGCACTTTGAATTTGCGTTGTCTCTTATTTTGAAGGCACGTTTAAATGTTACCATAGCGACCAGAGAGTGTTGCGGCCAGATAGGCCGTTCCTCGAGTTATGATTCGTGTTTATTATTATGTTTAGAAAATACCGTACTTTTCATGCAGGTCATATCATATTATTTTGTTGTATTTATCCCGCCCTAAAGGCCGGTACCTGAAAATATTAAACATCTTAAAACGGCCCCTTGGGGTAAAAAAAGTCGGGGACCGTTGATCTAGTTAACGTCAAAACAACAAGGATAATGTAAAAGTGCAAAACAACCCACTCTGCCACAATACGCAGAGGTTGTTTGAAATTAGAGAGAGTTGCTATGACTGAGGTGATGCAAGTGTCAACAAAACCAAGAACAAACATTTAGCAAAGGTGTGTTTCAGTTTAACGTGTTATTTGTACAACAACTATAGCTGCAAGCAGCTATTAAGAGCACTCGCAGTCCGGGCCACTTTGGAGTACTGGCATGTAGGAGTGGGCGATATATAGCGTGAGCGATAGCGTCACAATGTACAATTTTACACTATGGAGTAATAACATGGTGGCTCAGTGATCCAGTGGTTAGTGCGTTGGCCTCACAGTACAGAGGTCGTGGGTTCGATCCCAGCTCTGGTTTTTCCTATATTGAGTTTGCATGTTTTCTCCGGGAACTCATTGCAAGAATTATATGATAGACCCATCTCAGACCTTTGCTTCTTTAAGAAAGATTGTCAACCCAGCAAATTCTTGATCTCAACCGCACTTTTTGATAAATTCCAATCAGGTTTCTGACCTCACCATAGTATCGAGAAACGGTCCTTACGTACTGACCTAAAATTGAACACTGACGCGGGGAAAGATGTTGGTCGTCTTCTTGTATCTCAGTGCAACATTTGATACAACAAAAAATACTGTTGAACAAATTGGAAACTTGGATGGGATTAAATGAAACAATTGTTTCATTAAATTCCCCTACTTGGGGGATTTAGCTGTTATGCTGAACACAAATAGAATTAGCTGAAGTCATCCCCAAGTCTAAAAGCTCTTAAATCCAGGTTAAAAACGTTTCCCCATGCCTTTGATTAAGGCCTTCTGAACATGTCCAAATCTTTTTTTTTTTAGCAACTTTTGAAACTCTCCTATTTCTTCACTTTTAAATGTTTTTTTTAAGTTTTCCTCTTAATGCGTTTAAACGTAGTCAATATATGTTTTTTTAGAAATATTTGTAAGCTACGCTTTTTTTTCTCTGCTTTGGTTCTGAATAGAAATCTTTGTAAACTACATTTGTTTTTCTCTGCTTTGGTTCTGAATGTAACCCCCTGGGTTATTTCATGTGTGCACTTTTCCGAAGAAGCTATTGTTTACTTCAGCCTGCAAATGCATCTTAGGTAATTCGCTGGTCCGTCAAGGGCAATAGCACATGTCTGTGGTAATTGGCTACTACTGGTAATGGGGGCGGGAACTACGGGCTAGTTGGGTGTTTCGCTGAGAGACAATGTTTTTTAGCCAGTGGCTGCTCAAGAGTGACGGAGATCCGTGCTCTCTCTCCGAGACCACCTGTTTCTTCGAACTTGTTCCATTTGCTCAGTAGTTAGAGTGTGACGCCTGGTCACGTCTGACAAGTTTTGTAAATTTCCTGATCATTTGATCCGACGGTTGAGGACAGCGATGGACTCATCTGATCGTGACCACCTGTCACTGAGGTCATCGTTGAGGACGGCGTGGGATTTATTGTTGAGTCGTTTTGGCTCCCAAATCCTGCTTCTACCACCAGTTGGAAGGTGCCTCTACTAACAGATCATGAACTGTTGGAGGTGTTTTTTTTCCTTCATTGTGTGAAACACTTTGAGTTGCCTTATGTAAAAAATCCATCCATCCATGCATTTTCTGGTACACTTTATCCTCACAAGCGTCGCGGGCGCTCTGAAGCCTATCCCAGCTGTCTTCGGGCAGTAGGCGGTGGACACCCTGAACCGGTTGCCAGCCAATCGCAGGGCACACAGAGATGAACAACCATTCTCGCTCACGCTCATAACTAGGGACAATTTAGAATGTTCAATCAGCCTGCCATGCATGTTTTTGGAACTTGGGAGGAAACTGAAATACCCAGACAAAACTCACGCAGGCACGGGGAGAACATGCAAAGTCCACACAGGAAGGCTGGAGCTGGAATCAATACCTCTTCACTGTGAGGTCGACATGCTAACCACCCAACCACCCCCGGCCCTTATGTATAAAATGTACGATATAAATAAAGACAATGCGACAATTTGTCATTTTCAAGTATCATTATCAATTCACTGAAAATGCATGTCATTCTATTCTTATGGCTGGATGAGACAAGTGACATCATGTAAAATTTTTTCATAGTTGGAATTTTTACATACCTGGCCGTCTTCATTCAACAACTTCGCAACGTCTTCATCCATCAAATAAAGTGGCTTATCTTGAGGTACTGTCTCAGAAGCTGGAGCTGGCTTAAGTGGTGATAAACTCAAAACCAATGGCCAGCTCTGCATTTGAGTATTAAGTGGCTCTGTAAACAGGGCTTCCTCTCTGTTTGGGTAAAAACAATCCAAAGGCTCGATAGAGTCACATCCATGGCTGGGGTCTGTGGAAAAGTCATTGATTTCCTTGGATGTACCAAGTGGGTCATTACATAAGTCGATTTTCTGATATTTCTGTGGAGGCTCATTTTGTTCATTTTGGTGTCTGGCTGCTTGAGAATCTGAGGACATGTCTTCTGTATTCACAGGACAACCTGATATCTGGTCTGTTCTTATTTTCGGATCTCCATCTTGGGTGTTTGATTCCAACTTTACTTGAAGATCTGGCCAATATCTTTCATCCACATCAATTGATATATTTGGTTTTTCTGTGGCCTCCTCCTTTCTTTTGTCCCGCAATGAACACAGTGTTTTCTTACATTCTTTTTCCAACGGAATGACTTCATCAACATTTACCTCTCCAAGACTTTGCTGACAGTCAAACTGCCTTTCAATAACTTGTGAATCAGTAGCATGGTCTGTAGTTTTCTTGAAAAAAATCTCCTCATCAGTGCATGTTACACCACTAGACTGCTGCTCAAGTTGCTGGTGAGAGTATGATTCCAGGTCACTTTTGTTGTGGCACAGGGCTTGGTTGGTTTTATCACTTTCCAATTGATGGGCATCCCCAGAGGACATATATTTTTCTGTGTCACAGGGGGCAGTTAAGGGCTCATCGCCATCTTCATCTTTCACAAAAGAATTTGGACCCATTTGTTTCGACTGACAATCTATTTTGTAACATTCATTTTCCACTTCAACTCTTTTGTCAGTTTGATGATCAATTATTTTTTCATCAATCTGTGAATCCGTCACACGGTCCGTGGCTTGCTTCAAACATCCCTGTTCTTCACAAGGACTTGTTGGCACACTAAATGACTCTGAAAGCTCTTCATTCGAACAGAGTTGTGGTTCAGTTTGTGGATGTGCACCGGATATGGTAGCATCACCTGTTTCTTGAGAGTCAGATACAAATAATGATGGTCTTTTTACCGGAAGTTTTTCCTCTGTGGATGCTTCAACTTGAAGCAAATGATTAGCATCAGTCTGTCGAACCTGACAATCTCTGTTCTCGTTTGAGGTTTCCAATATAACTTTTGGAAAAAAGACTTTGGTATGGTTCTTGAAATCTCCCTCCATATTTTCTGCAACTCCCTTGCAATCTTTTTGTTCGATTTCCTTTCCAAGGACTTTTCCCTGTGTATCATCAGAGTTAAGTGAAAAAATACCTTCATCTATACATGAGTCTGTAATGAACTGGTCATCTGGAAGTTCACATGTAATGGGAACAGATCCGCCACCAAAAGAAGTAATGTGCACATGGGTTGCGCAGTCCATATCCCAATCACACGATGAACTTCGACTTAGACTCTGACAACATTTCACTGGAACTACTCCATCCTCACTCTCTACCCAGGAATCTGGAGAACTGATAGCAGAATCGTCCATGACAGATTCAGTTTTCTTCAACTCGAGCGACGGAGAGTCAAAGCCAGACTGACTTTGGGTTAATTGTAGGGAGTTAGGGGTTGTCTCGGATAAGACTTCTTCTGGGGGTTCAGCATTTTCTTCCGTCCTATTTAAGTTGTCTTTCATGCAGGTCGAATCAGCAAAGGAGTCTTCACTAAGCCACGTACAAGATATTGCTGGATGAATGGATGGTGAACTGCTCCCTTTGTCTTCTGACATAAATGAACAGAAGATTTGGGGTGAGGGTTGTGGACAGTCCGTCTGGAACATGAGGCATCTCTCTTTCACAATGCTACGAGTCAGGGTTGCACGGTCAGGGTCACAGAAGCCGAGTGGATCCATAGAGATACTCCTTTCGATGAAAGGGTTAGGCTCCTTTCGCTAAGGAAGTCAAAATATAAAAAGTCAGTCCAGTATTCATCATCGGGTTAGTTTCTCAACATAATGCGATGACAGAAAAACAACATCCATGCACATGTTCAGTGATTTGTACCTCCTCTATGCCAGGGAAGTGCTCAAGGAACTGTGATACATATGTCATGATGGACTGTTCGTCTGGTGCGTTGGTCGTCACATCTGGGAGAGAGAAAGCAAGGCACTTACTGGAGTTACCGAAATACAGGGAACAGATATCATCTAGGCTCCATTAACCACTACCAAAACAGTCAACATGATTTTAGACTTTACACTCTGCTGCATTAATTCAATTGAAAAACTGAACTATTCTCTCATTAACATCAGCACTTATCAGTCCCTCTAGAAATTTGAAATATTGTTCACACAAAAACTCAACTAATCCTGGTGAATTGTCCAGAAGCTTGGATAAAGCAATTTTATCCAATCACTGCAACTTTTCAACTTTGCACATTGCTGTTATTGGGTGGTATGACTGCACGATGGTACCCTTAAATGAAGGAAAGTCTTGATACTTATTTGTCATGTATTTGTTTATCGTAGTTGCTTATTATTGATAAGACTAGTGTAGACTGTACTACCGGAGGCAAATTCCTTGTGTGTTCTCCATACTTGGCCAAGAAACATGATTTTGATTCTGAATGGAATGATTAAACGTTGCGATGTGCTGACTACTTGCTGCCATTACCGTTGAATGATGAAATGCCAAAGAGCAGATTGTGTAGATTGGTCGAGTGTTTTTGCATATGATAAGGTGAATTTTTGCATCTTGACTCTGTTCAGACATTGCTTTGTATTCTTATTTTCAGTTTTCACCGGCATGTCTTTGAAGAATTGTGAAAGAACTTACATCTCATTTGTCTTCATTGGCTTTGGTTTCTTGGTGTTGAGTCAGTGTTTTTAGAACTCACTACATGAGAACACTAACATCATAATAATTTCTACAAAAACAAGAGGGAACCTGCAGCGGTCGGTTCAGGTTCAGGCGATTTATTGTGCGATGTCTGTTTTAGCACAGCTTCAGCCAGATCGGCTGAGCAGACAAAAATATTCTGAGGATATTCGCAAAGAACAGTAAGTTCATACTTTCTACTTAAAAATAGTTCTATCCAGACATTCATGACTAACAATAATTTATATAATCAACATGTCACGTTGCAAGGTGGTGGTGGACCCCAAAAAAGCAGGCAGGGGGGAGGAGCAGGGTGTACTTGAAAGATTGTATTAAAACTCAGAAAACTAAATCCAAAACAAACAAAGTCCAAAGTAGCAAACAAAAATCCCAACTGAAGCTAGAACAGAACTGTGACCAAAACATGACCGAAACAAACCTGACAGCAGCAGAGAAACGGCAACAAACAAACATGACAGTGGCAAAGAGGAACAATGACCCGACAATAACTGGTCGGGCTGGGAGTCCTTTTAAAGCACTAATTACCTAATGACCAACAGGTGTGCAGCTGCAGGGGAAGCCCTCCAGTGCCACCTGTTGGTCCCAAACCGAAACATGACACAACATATATAATTGTATTTTGGTATCCATGCATTAATGACTAACAATAATTTATGTTATATATATATATATATATTTTTTATGAAGTACATCATATTAAAAGCTATTTTGATAAACTATTACCACAGTATGTTTGATGTTTCAGTTGCTATGCAGTGACTGTGGCCCTTTTATCCTTTACTCTGTCATATAGGCTTGATGTCTCACAGTATATAAACTCGAGTTACTCAGTGATGTACTTTATGTCCCACTGAGCAAAAAATACGCTTTCTCATGAAGACCACCTTTATCCTGCCTGGAAGAAATCAAAACCTGGATGGCACAAAATTTCTTGAATTTCAATGAAAAGAAGAAGGAGGTGATACTGTTTGGTCCCAGTGGCCCTTGTACATCCCATCCTGTACATTTGGGCCCCCTGTCTCCTTATCTTAAGTCAACAGTCTCAAACTTGGGTCTTAAACTGAACAGTGATTTTAAACTTGACCGGTAAATTGGTGCCGTTGTTAAATCCAGCTTCTTTCATCTTAGACACCTGGCCAAAGTAAAACCTCCTCTCTCATAAACACTTTGAGACAGCAATTCATGCCTTCGTCACATCCCGGCTCGATTACTTCAATGCCTTTTACTTTGGAGTCAGCCAATCCTCCATTTAGCGCCTCCAGCTGGTCCAGAATGCCGCTGCTCGCCTCTTGACTGGTACTCGTAAGAGGGATCCTACTCTGGTATCCCTTCACTATACATTTTAGAGTTCTTTTCAAGATTCTATTATTTGTTTTCAAGTCTCTAAATGACCTCGCGCCACCTTACCTCTCTGAGCTCATCCGCCCCTCCACACCTGCCTCAGGTCTGCGGACCAGATATTATTAGAAGTACCAAGAACTAAACTGAGGCTCAGAGGAGATCGAGCCTTTTCCGTTATTGGTCCCTCTCTCTGGAATGACCTCCCACTGAACATTCGGCAAGCCTCCTCGCTGCCCATCTTTAAAACCCGCCTCAAAACTCACTTGTATTCTTTGGCATTTGACTCAGCATGACCCAAATTATGATCTTAATTATACTGTTTGGTGCTCTCTACTGTCTTTTTCCTGATTGGTTGCTTTACTGTTGTATATGTTAGTTGCTCCATGTACAGCACTTTGTGTGCAGCGATGGCTGTTTGAAAGTGCTCTATAAATACAGTTGAGTTGAGAGTGATATCTTGTCAGTACGTCGAGCTTTCTGCTTGAGAGTCAGCTCTCTTCCGTGTCTGCTGCATCCAGTCCTGCTCCTTTGTATTATCTTTCCGATAAGACTTTTACTTTCCAACAAGTGCAGCATCTGCATTCTGCGTTTCTCATTGATCACAAGTCGTACTGGCCTCGTCTTGACCGGTCTTGATCATGAGTAAAAAGACCCTCAAAAAATGGTCTCAACAACTACACCACTGGTATTAAGTAAAAATATCCTTTATTCTAATGGAAAATTATTGTATCGAATTTCCGCTAGGATACTTGTACAATGAAATGCAGCCCTACATTCAACCAAACATTTTTTGTTTCGGGACCCTGGGATTAATCGAAACAAAAACATTCTCCTTAAAATGACTCATTTGCTCCGCAACGAAGTCGTTGATTAGCAAAATTGCTTATCAAAGAAAAATGGAGCCTGGTTCCTGAATGGTAGATTAGTACTTAATTTGATATTATGAAGGAATTTTGATGGAATTATTTGGTAAACAAAAAAATGTTGATTCAAACTGATTTAAAAATACATATTTTATTGTATTTAATTTTTAATTTCAGTCAAAGTAGACACCTTTTCCCCACAACAGCTTTGCACATCTTCATATTTTTTCAGTCATCTTTACGATGTGGATGTTGCTGCATGACCTGGACTGACTTTCATTTTCCAGCTGTGCATTATCAAGAATCAGTAGCTTGAATTTTTTTTACCTCTAAATGTGTATGAGACTAATTAAATGTGAACGTGTTTCCAAACCTTTGACTGGTACAGTACATTGAACAAGTAAACAGGGTCGGACTTGTACCTTTTACCTCCTAGTTTTTAACATCAGGGGTTGCTTAGCTACATGCTAGCATTGCATATCCATGGGGTTAAGGCAAGTTTCTGTGGTACTCAAAAGACCTCAGTCAAGCAATTCAGGTTTTCCAATGCTTTAACAGAGTGGAATTGCAATTATACGAAATTGCAGTATATTATCAGTAAATTTACAAAAAGCTGTAGCACACCTTCAGGCTCCAGGAGGCGCGGGATACCCAAACAGTAATGGGCAATCCTGAATGCATCTTCCAGATTTTCTTGTGCACTTCTTAGCAAGGCCCTCCTCATATCCACCAGGGTGGGGTCGATGGACTTGATGACTGCAAGGAAAGCAAGACCACTTGTCCAACTCTTCCCAAAGTCCTGAATTGTCACACCATACCTTGGGAACAAAAATGGTCATACAAACTAATTGAATATTGATCCGAACTAATAAATGAAAACAAAAAAACAACTTTAGCTTGAAGTGAAAGCTCACACTCACTTGCGTGTTTGTTTCTGTACCCACTGCAGCAGTTTTTTGAAGGCTTTGCCATGTTCTCTTGTGGTTGCGGCTGCCATATGCCTTCCGGCCAATGATGTGTTGCCGTTGGATATGTCAGAGCTGGTAGGTGTAGACGACAAGGTGGAGGTTGAGGGGAACTGGCTCCGTATGTTGCCAGTCAACTCCTTAATCTGGCAGAATATGGAAAGTTGTATGATGGTGAAATGAATTTTGTTTGGATCCAGCATCTGAAAGATTCAGTTGCAAAACTGTTTGATAAACTTCATTCTTTCTTAATCCAAAGTATGATGGCGATTTTAGGAAAATTATATTGTCAAGAGAAAGGATATGACCGAGTCTGAATGACGAATGTATGAATAATCGTTCAGGTGCTTATTTTATTATATTATTCTTTTTTTTTCAACAGCAATTGTTATACAAGTATAAAATCTAGTATCTCACAATCATTGCAGCTTTTTATACCAAATCTATAGGTATGTGCACAGACATTACAAAACAGTTTGTTTCAGGATTAGTATTTATTAACAAGTTTGTGTTGTTTATTTGGTATTGCTTTGTCAATAAAATAACAAACAAACAAAAATTAAGAAATACAACACAAGAGGGATGGACCTTTTTGGAACTGATTCAGTTACTGGTTGGGTCATTGTTTTCCAAAGTAAATGCAGATCTTTGCAAATGTCTTGTTTTGATTAAACACAAAAAATAATCACTCTGCTTTCACAAAGGACTTCAGAAATAAGAGATTAATTACTGTTGAGAAGCTGAAATCTGAGGATTTGGATCATTTTAAGATAAACAATGGCTCTAAAGCAGTGGTCCCCAACCCACGGTCCGCAGACCAGTACCGGGCCACACAGAGACAGGCCTGCGTGCTGTGAGCAAATTTACTCCATGAGACATACATGTTGAAAATGTGCGGAACTCCGATCAATCGGAGTCCCACTTCTACCATTGGTTTGCAAGTTGACATAAACAGAACCCACCAAAAATGAAAGAAGAAGCAGTAAACAGAAAGTAATCCTAACAAATTGACCAAACATGCAGCTGCTGTGCAGCCATGACTTCCCAAGATGAAACGATTTTGACAAGAGAAGTTCCTCCCCGAGCGACGTGGGGGAGCAAGTTATCGTGTGTGCTATATCGTCAAAAACAAGGCAATACAAGAAAACTGTTGAATAATTTGACCAAGTAGCAAATATGAGAGCGGAGTTTGAACAGCCCACCCAAGTAAATATTAGCATTTTAGCCGCTAATAACTAGCCGGCAGCCACCGGATAAAAGCAGCAATCAAACGTGTCATCTTTTGATCAGCCCCATTTGCAAGTAGCAATGATGCTAACACCGTATGTAGGATCAGAACTTGAAAAATGACCGGTCCTCAAGTCCCGGGATGCGGACTGGTTCCAGTCCGTGGGTCATTTGGTGCCGGGCTGCACAGAAAGAATAAGTAACTTACATTACTTCCGTTTTATTCATTTCGAATCTGAAAGATGTTTTATTTTGAAAAGTTACCGGACCCTCTGTTCTATCCATCTACAGTATGTCACTCTTGACGCAGGTGAAGGCGTGCTTCTCGGTCATGTGACAGGTTACCGCTATAATGAAACCCAGGAGCTAGCAAAATGATTGAAAAACAAACGTCTTTGGAAAGGGGAAAAGGCCCAGCCAGGAGACAGTAGAGGAGCCGACATCTTTCAAGAAAAAGAAGGCTACATTTAATAGACAGTATCAGGAGTCCGACTTAAAATACGGACGTATCTCAAGGGGAGATTCCCACGCACCAAGTTCACTCTGCATAATATGCGGCGATGGTGAGTCCGATTTTTCATGCACTTTTTATTTGCGGTGTATCTTATTTTGAAGGCACGTTTAAACATTACCCTAGCGACCAGAGAGTGTTGCGGCCAAATCGGACGTCCCTCATGTCACGATTCGTGTTGATTATTATGTTACAAAAATACCGCAGTTTTCATGCAAGTCATATCATATTATTTTATTGTATTTATTCGTCTTACCTTAAAGGCCGGTCCCTGAAAATATCGTCTGACATTAAACCGGTGCGTGGGGCAAAAAAGGTTGGGGACCGCTGGTTTACATTATAAGGCTTATTTATTATTCCTAATTGGTCCATTTCTCAGTAGTTCACTGTTATTTTATTTTATTCTACATTTGTTTTGCAGTAAAATAACATTGTTTGAAAGGAGTGAACGTTATTAAAGTGTTAAATTATGCTATAATTATCATTGTCAGTAGCAGTGCTTTAAAACGGGCAATTTAAAAGCGATGAAGAAAAAAAAGGTTGCCGGTCCGCAAACAGCATTTACTTGTCTCAACCGATCCGTGACACAAAAAAGGTTGGGGGCCGCTGCTCTTAAGGATTACTCGATGATTAAAATAGTTGTTGATTAATTTAGATAATCAACAAGTTGTCAATTCATCGATTAATTCTGACACTTCTACAATGATCTATTTCTTACATTGTTAAATCATGAACTTGATCAGTGTAATCACAATGAATCATCGACGGTGAAGTAATTAATTATTAAGAACATAATAAAAAGTCATTTGAGCAAATTTCTCATTTCCGAAGTCTATATGCAACTTGTAAGTCTTCCTGTTAATCAGTATCCAAGAAGTAGCTCTCACTTTCAAAAAGGTTGGTGACCCCTGCTGGAAACGGTTCCACTGCACTACATTACCATGGAGTTATTTGAATGGAAGTGCCCCGCCCATGAGACAATTTTGTTCAATCCAAACCTTTTTTCGAGGGCAATGACAGTCGTATCAAAAAAGGCGGCGTTAGAAACAGTGAGCACAAATGAGGGAGGTTTTAAATAGGAAGACTAAAGAAAATTATGAGAACCTGGAAGAAGAGAATGATGTTCCAGATCAGTCCCAGGATGACGGATGAGTTTCCATCGACAACATCAGCAGCGTCAATGCTGACGAGCCTTACCTGTTGAGTGTGCACAGGACATTTATTTGGCATGGATCAACACTTCAGCAATTATTAAAAGTAGGATTCTCACATTAAGGGGATAAATATAGTTGCGGCACTCACATTTCGCTCCTCAAGAAAAGACAAAACTTGGGTAATATTGTTAAGTCTGAAGATTCGATGGGATGATTTCTTGAACCCCTGAAGCTGGACAATCATGTCAAATATTGACAGCAACAAAGCAAATATTATTTTATGACAAATACTCATTGATTGGATAATGGCAGATACAAAGACAGAGGAAGAGTCTGACCAGCTTGCACCCAGAGAGCTCTTCCAGAAGAGCCATGAGGATACGTCCATCCTGAATATCTTGGAAAAGGTCTTGGACTTCAATAGGTGGATTACACTGAAAGTGGATGAAAACATCAAAAAATACCATATGAATGTGTACCTAGATGCATTCAATAATTCCAGCATTTTTTTTTTTTCCGCAGAGACAGAAAATAAAATGAAAGGATCGTCTTTAAGCAAATCCTTTCCCCCCAAGCTCATCAATAAGAAGCAGCATGCTACTCGTGGACAGGTTACACTAACCAATCAGCTGGGAGCATCCACCTTCACACAATTACCAACCTGATTTCCCAGCTGCTCGTAAATGCTTGATGCTAAGCTAACTGCATCTGAGGGTTGTGGATCCTCTCCGAACTAATTACTGTAACCCTTACCTCTTTGGTGACAAAATAGATGGACTTCCGAACAAGTAGCGCTTTCGCTAAAGGCGAATGAGGAGTAGCTAAACATGCAACACAACTGAGCAACAAGAGAGCACATGAGAAAATGGAGAAGCTAATGCTCAGTGCTAAATGAAAGTGACCTGTAGAGTTGTGAAAGACCAAAATAAATGCTTGGGTGTATAGTTCACTTTTCACAGAAGTCCGGCTCGAACCGAGTTAGGCTGTCAAAATTAATTGACAACCAATCAATTATCAAATTAATCGGCAACTACATTAATAATCGAGGATTCCTATACAGCCATTCTTAGCTAAAAATTGTCCAAATCCTCAAATGTCAGCCTCTCAACAGTCATTATTCACAGATTTCTGCAGTCCTTCATGAAGACATACTGATGATCTTTTGTGTTGAATCAAAATAAAACATTTGCAAACATCTGCTTTTACCACAACGTAACAGAACTGTAATTGCTTGATAAACAAATTGAAAAAAACAATTGTAACACACTTCCACACAAAACAACATTTTACCCGATTAACCGATGTAATAATCGATCAAATAATCGATTCTACAAATATTTAGATTAGATATCCTTTATTTGTCCCACACTGGGGAAATTTACAAATTTGACAGTGAATCTAATTATTATTACACTAAAGAGGCAACTAAAGACAAAATAAGACAACACAATATACTGTCAGTCGGGTCAGTTAATTATTTAAGTGAATGAGGGCGACTCGAGTTTAATGTCTAAATGCACTAAACTCGAGCACTGTTAGAGGAATCTATGAGCAAAATTGTATCATTTTTAAAGTTTCATTTAATTTGGGCACATCTAAACGTTTGGGTGCGTATCCAGCACCTCCAAATGCCTGTGCACATAGGCGCCGGCCACCTGGCCGGAGGGCTGTTGAAGTCCACAATTAGCACGTCAATGCAGGTGGGCAATCACAGGGTAGGGGGCGAAACTCGGTCACAAAAGGGGAACGAATAATTTGGGAACAGCGGTTGAACAACAAAAGACGAGTTGAGAACACCCGTCGCGCCCAGGCGACATTTATCGTCCGCAAAGTCTGCAACATGTTAATTCGATGTAGACCAGACAGAAAAGGCGCCAACGTACTGGTGGTTCAAGTTTAAAAAACAGGTAACCAATCACCACCGAGGGGCCGGACCGGGGGTGCGGTATGCAAATGTCGGGGGCAGTGTTTTCTTTGTATGTTACAATAAAAGTCGGAATTGGCGGGAAGGGAGCTCGAGAGTGTGATCGCGGAGCAACTAAACCGTCGTTCGCTCTCAGAGATCCGCTCCCGCCGATATTGAAGACAATTTTCCTGTGTGCCGAGTCATTTCTTTAACTTTGTCCGAGAAAATCTCTGACAAGCACCTTTTTGGATGATATTTGAAATGACAACAAAACTCCTTAAAACAGTCTTTTCATGGGAAGGACGCTAAATTTGGAGAGCTTTGAGTTTGTTATAGGGTTGATAAGGAGAGCGGAGGATGAGAAGTTCTTTTTAAAAAGGACAGACTAAGCAAGGACGGAAGTGGGTTTTCATCCGTCCCTGTACTCGTCCCAAACCGGGTCAAGTACCTCCGGACGACTGACAGAAACATGCCCAGTCTGTTTCGCGAGTGTAATCCACCAATTCACGACTTCAGCGCGAATGTGAAATATCACGACGAGCCAGTCATCTCGTGAGTGTTCACCACATTTGTATGCGGGAGGGAGTGACTTCACTTCGCTTCAAGCTGACAAGAGGAGGAGCACTCGTCCGCCATCCCAAAAAGTTTCAGCTTGGTGATTGATGGCGGTTGTGTTGGCAGCTAACTGCTATCTTGGTTGACACTTAAACAGTTGTAAACATTTCAATCCAGCCAGTTAAGAAAGTTGGCTGTGCTGTATGCCTCTCGGTTTAAGTGCCCACAGCATGTGTGTGTGTGTGTGTGTGTGTGTGTGTGTGTGTGTGTGTGCGTGCGTGCGTGCGTGCGTGCGTGCGTGCGTGTGTGCGCACACGCGCGTGCGCGAGGAAGTGTATGATGTGGCTCTTTGCAGTAAGTAACACAGTAAAAAAAAATGTCTCTTCGTCTCTGACTGGTTGGTCACCCCTGTTCTAGCCCCTCTTTGTTGTTGGATCTGTTCAAACACTTGAAACAAAGAATGTAGTATGCTGTTGAAGGTATTACCTGCTCACTGTGATTACAATCACCTTTAGTGCCCCTTGACCCCCACCACTTTTAGGGCCCCCTCCAGAGGACATGTTTAACATCAAAAGAGAAACTGTTATCTCAAGTATCTGTGTTGCTGCCACAACATCAAAGCTGATTGATTGATTGAACATTTTATTGAACATACAATAACAGATTGACAAAAGGCAAGCAAAAGTTATAAAAGGAAAAAATAAAAAAGTAAGTAAAACAAACATCATCACAGTTATATGCTCAAAGGAGTAGGAAGAAGTATACAACTTATCTAGTCCTACCCCTTGTTGTGTAATAATATAAATTGATCCTTTTTCAATACAAAAGAAAAGGAAGAGATCTACATCTCATCAAATACTTTTACCCTTATATGTACTGTACATATATATATGTACTGTACTTATCTATTTATACACCTTTCTGTTTGTGTATACACACACACACACACACACACACGGGCGTCACTAGGTTTCAAGAACAAGGGGGGCTTAGCCCCAAGGGGAACACAGCCTCTTTAGGGGGGTCCGGGGGCATGCCCCCCCGC